GACAGCCTCATCGTCCCGATACGCCATGCGTATCCGATCATATAGATCCGTTGTCACCCGTGTGATGTGGGCAAACTCATAGTCGGGACGCCTAGAGAGGGCGTCCGCAAGCACGTTGAGCTTGCCCGGCTTGTACTCGACGCGGAAGTTATATTCCGCGAAGAAGGACAGCCACCTCGCCATCCGTTGGGAGAGGTGAGGCGAGTTAGTCGCCGTCCTCAAGGACGCGTGGTCTGTGTAGATCACAAAGGGCGTAGAGCCCAGAAGGTGAACACGGAACTTCACAAGGGCATATTTCATTGCCAGGAGCTCCTTGTCATGGACAGGGTAGTTCCGCTCGGCGGCTTTGAGCTGCCTGGACTGGAATGAGATGACTCGTTCCTGTCCAGCCGTGTCGTCCTGCAGCAATGCACACCCGATGGCGTAATCGGAGGCATCGCAGACGACGCTAAACGGCTTCGTCTCGTCCGGCAGAGCCAGGACAGGGGCCTCTTGGAGACTGGCCTTGATGCTGTCAAAAGCATCCTGGTGCTCTTGCTCCCAGCGCCAGTCGACGTCCTTCTGAAGGAGGCTCGACAAGGGCTTAGCGAAGCCCGCGTACCCAGCGCTGTACTTGTGAAGGTAGTTGGCCAAACCCAACCACTTTCGAAGATCCTTCTGGGATCGGGGCGTCGGCCATGCTGCTATGGCCTTGACCTTGTCTGGGTCAGCCCGAACGCCCACGTTGCTTACGAAGCAACCGAGAACTTTGATCTCTTGTGACGCGAAAACGCACTTGTCGATGTTGGCGTAGAGCTTGTTCGCTCGCATCACGTCCAACACTCGACGGAGGTGTCCTAGATGCACCTCCATGGCCGTCTTGCCTCCCTCGGCACGGCTATGGACGAAAATGTCGTCGAAGTACGTCTGTACGAAGGTACGCAAAGGGCGGAACAATTGCGTCACCAGGCGATTGAACGTCGCCGGGGCGTTAGACAAGCCCTGCGGCATGACGAGCCACTCCCAAAGCATGCCGCTTGGAGTGCTTACCGCGGTGAGCGGGATGTCACTCTCTCGCATCAGGATTTGGTAGTATCCGTCTACCAAATCCAGCGCACTGTACAGTACGCTCCCGGCCATGTTGTTCAACAACACATCCTTTCGTGGGATCGGTGTTTGGGCCGGCACCGTTGCGTTGTTCAGCTTGTTATAAGCGTGAACCAGACGCCACTTTCCGTTCGGCTTACGAACGCAGAAAGTCGGCGTCGAGTGCGGGGATTTCGACTCCCGCACCATGCCTGCCTTCGCTTTCGCGGCGAAGAAGGCATCAATGACCTCGCACTGTTCGCGCGGGAGAGGCCATTGCCTCGTGACACAATACTTTGTGCCGGGCACGAGATCAATCTCGTGCCGTACGCCTCGATCCGGTGGGAGTTGGGTCGGTGGGTGTTTATTCACCACGTCCGCATACTCCGTCACCAAAGGATACACCGGATCCTTGGGGTTCTTGAGAATCTCAGAACCCAAGCGCGCCTGACGCTGCTTGTTCATGTCTTCCAGGACGTTCTCGTCCAAGACAGAGGAGGAGTTCAGCTCCTCCTGAGTGGTCTCAGGTCTCATGAGTACCATCTCAGCGATCTCTCCAGCCTTGAGGTTGGCCAGGAAAGACTCAGCCGTCATTTCCTCGAGGTTCAGTATCTCTGCAACCTCTGGCAACGGTTCCAAGTGGACACCAGATGCCTTGACGGGTAAACCCGTCTCGCTATCGAAGATGTGATAACACTCTTCCACCGGCCTTGTCGGAGGAGCCCGGGCCCTGGACTCCGAGTCGCTTGAAGCGACGTCGATCGGAACGAAGTTCGGATCCGACTTGAGGCGGCGGCGGCGTATTTGCCGACGGCTTCTGTGACGGGGAGCTTTGCTGCCCACGTCTAGGGATGTCGTCGCTACGACATCCGAGGCACTCGTGGCCTCGTGTGGTACTGTTGTACCCACACAGGAAGCGTGTTCAACGCCTTCCTCTTCAGTTAAGGTCTGGGCGACCGCGTGTGGCACTGTGTTACCCACACAGGAAGCGTATCCGACGTCTTCCTCTTCAGTTATGGTCTGGGCGACCGTGAGTGGAACTCTGTTACCCACTCTGAACACGCTGTTCTCAGTGTTCATGACAGCTGCAGCTGTCTGCGGAACTAAGTTACCCGCCTGTGGACCTAAGTTACCCACTTGGCCGGCGCCTCTTCTGGGCGCGGCCACCATCAAAACATCCTCGGAGTCGTCATATACGTCGACGACTCCCAAGCATCTGCCGGATGCTTTGGTACCCTGGCAGCCCTCGCGGGCGCCCCGGGTCCTGACAGAGGTGGGAACATGACTCACCAATGCTCTGTCGGACTGCGCAGGGCGGCTGGCACCGATTGCCTTGCCTCGCCAGTCGATCCAGGGCTCGTGCTTCTCAAGCCAGGGCATGCCCAGGATCATATCATATGGATCCATATCGAGAACAGTGAACTGTTCGAGGCTGTCAAAGTCTTCAAACTTGACAGCCAGATCCACTTGGACGTTGGGGACAGTGACGACCTTCCCGTCGGCCAGTCGCACTGACACCGTCCCGTTGCCCTTGCTTTCTCGCAAAGCTTCGGACAACTTGTTGCTGTTACGAGCAACCGTCTGGCGGCGTGCGAAATTCTTCGACGCCCCAGAGTCAATCAAGATTCTAAAGGGGTGATCGTACCCCCGTACACATCCGTGTACTACGAGCAACCCGCCGCTGCTCTTCGCCGATTCGAGAGTGCGAAGACTCTCAGGGGCTAAGTCCCCGTGGTACGCGCCACCCGCGCACCCATCACGAAGACTTAGTTCTTCCCCAGTAGGGCGCCCCGCCCCTACTGGTTCCCTGCGTTCCCCTGTCCCCGGGATCCTGGCTTCTGCCAGCGACCCTTGAGGACGGGCTTGGGGAAGGACCGTCTGCGGAGTCTTTCCGCGGGACAGTCGCGCTTGAAGTGGCCCATCTTCCCACAGCCGAAGCAGCGGATGTCACGCTGTTCGGCGGACCCGAGTTCCATGGGAACTGGTCCGTTGGGGCTTGTTCGACCGGGAGCCGACAAGGAACTCCCAGGCCACGCTGAGGCCGGCGTACGCGCCTGGCGATGGCTGTATTCTTCTTGAAGAGCCACTTGAATCGCCTCTTCAAGGGTGCTTGCCTGCACCCGGAACAGCTGAGTGCGTGCGGGGCCCACTCGGAGGCCGTCCATGAACACAGTCATCTTGATGTGTTCATTGAGTGGGTTTCCCACTAGGGACGCCGTGAGCTCCCGTATCTCTTGCACATACTCGTGCAGTTCGCGTCTTCCTTGTTTACACGCGAGGAAGCGCGAACGCTGGCGGTACTCGTAGTTCGCCGGGAGGAACGCGGCTCGGAGCTGTTGGCACAGCTGAGCCCAGGATGTGAAACATCCAGGGGATGTCGCTTCCCGAGTGTACACCCAACTCTTAGCACGACCGCTAAGGTTGGAGAGTGCAAAAGCAACACGCAGTTGCTCGGTCGAGATCAGAGCCGCGTCCATCGCGAGCTCTACTTCTCGGACCCAGAAGTGAAGGTTCTCGCCTTCCTTCCCTTCATACGGCTTTACCTTCAGCCGTATTGGCTTCGGGTGAGGCGGGTTTGCTTCCGCCGCCGGAGCCTGCAGGTTCTCCCGCACATGCGCGATGAGGCCCTGCTCGTACGCGTCGAATGCATTGACGCGCTCGAGCTGCTCAGCCGGTGTTGATACCACCAGGCTCTGCAGGGCCTCCATCCCGAAGATGCCTGCCATCTTCCGAACCGACTCGAACTGAGAGTCGTTCATATGGGAGAAGTCGTTCCTATCCATGGCAACGAACTTCGGAGGTTCAGGTAGTCTACCCGCGATGGCGTGGATTGACTACAAGTGCTACCAAGTGTGACGGGGTCACACAGCACCTTGCGCTAGAGGAAGTTATCTTCCGAGAGTATACAAACTCTCAGTGAACGGCAGTTCACAGGTCCCCTCTTTAATTAAAGAGAGCGAAGTGACCTAAATAAGGTAGATTGTAAACTGAGTATATTTATAGGTAGGTTAAGTTTGAGGTTAATACAAACTATCAGTTACCTATAGAAATGCAATGTCATTTAACCAATGGTTGGTTTTGAATGACCTTGGTACCTTGTACCAAATATCCCGGAGTATGACATGTCATACTCCTGAAGTGTGAAGTGTCACACTTCATGTAACCAGGGTACACTTAGTGCTACGTACCCCGTTACAGAATACCCGCATGCTACAGTTCTAATGTGCTGATTTTATATACACTCCTGGACACAACTGTACGGTGCTCTCGTCGAGTGCCCATAACTCAGTCAATTTTTAATATTTGACGGTGCGGTTTTCACACAAGTTGCAAAACATGCTTCAAAATAGCAAGGATGTGCTAACGCTCGCGTTTTTGCACTTTATAGGGAGGCTCACATACAAAAAAGAGATTTGTCAAGCTGGACACAATTTACGGCCACCATCGGCCCAATACAAAAACCTATTTAAAATAAAACATGTGCCATTTTGGCTGACTAGAAATTTGTATGGGCTGACGTTTTGTGGGCGATTAAATGAACACTAGGGATCAAGAGCTCAAAGTAGTTGCATGGGGTGTACATAATAGTTTTATATGTAACGTGTTGCACTCGCACCTCTGCTTGATAGATATTGATGGAGAATTTGTAAATGTAAGATCGCGACGACTACACGGTGCTCTCCATATGATCTGCAATAGTAAACAAATGCGGATGGGTCTATTGACACTAGCTAAAAGTCTCCATCAATATCGATCAAGCAGAGGTGCGAGTGCAACACGTTACATATAAAACTATTGTGTACACCCCACGCAACTACTTTGAGCTCTCGATCCCTAGTGTTCATTTAATCGCCCACAAAACCTCAGCCCATACAAATTTCTAGTCAGCCAAAATGACACATGTTTTATTTTAAATAGGTTTTTGTATTGGGCCGATGGTGGCCGTAAATTGTGGCCAGCTTGACAAATTTCTCTTTTGTTTGTGAGCCTCCCTATAAAGTACAAAAACGCGAGCGCTAGCACATCCTTGCTATGTTGAAGCATGCTTTACAACTTGTGTGAAAAGCGCACCGTTAAATAATAAAAATTGACTGAGTATGGGCACTCGACGAGGAAGCCGTATAATTGTGTCCAGGAGTGTAACATAAAATGTTTGGAAGCACTCGCGAGAAAAAAGGTCAGGACGGGTACACTAGGAGTGTATTTGCTGATCTGTACGACATGCATTATGCTACGTAAGCAGGGAGGGGGCTCCGGCGCCCTTAAAGAGATACCCCTCGCTAACACAGAGAGATTCACAGTCTATTTCGAAGTCGCGACCCCCGTCGTGTTCGATTCCGTTGACCAAGGCCATCACTGGGTATAATATGGGTGCTGCTCATATCTTTAATGTCGACACAGCCATCAAAACTATCCGAGAACACAAGCAAGGAATTATGGCTAAAATCGCTAAACTGGTGCGCCGCAAGCAAATTAGAGGTTTGCTGATGGTGATACCACCAATGATGGATGTCGTGCCAGTGGTGCCAGTGTGATTGGAGCGTTCGTATCAGAGGTAAAATTGTAGAATGTTCAACAAAGTTCAAACGTGCTAAAGACTACAATACTACAAATCTACCCGCTGTTGATAATGGACGTCATGGCTCATACTAACTTCCTCTGCGCAATATTCACAGCAGAACTGCTAAGATGAACAAGGGCACCGACAGGCCTGAGAGGCGAATGCTCTGTAATTGATGAGACCTCGGGGAGGGGGGGGGGCTCGCAGTATTTGACAGCACCAATAACCCCTATGACAAAGGTTTCAGCAGCGACCCCGACGTCCACCTCTTCAGTGACGAAGAGTATGATCTTGACGAATTTTTCATGGAAGAAGGCATTACTGCTCGTTTCTCTGCAGCGTCTGCAAAACTGAATTTGAGAGAGAAATTCAATGCTCGGCAGCTCCTCATTTAGAGTGAACATATTCAGAGACTGAAATGGTATATTATATTTAATCTATTGCAAGGACGATGGTCATTTTGTGCGGCTTTTGGCACTGCATCAAGCCGACCTTTCCGTAAACAGCGTGACGTCTTCGCGTAGAACAGGAGTGGCTCCAGTTTCATAAAGGTCGTTCCTCACTGAACCTTCCTTACCTAGCTGGGGGATCGTACCTGGACGTTCGAAACGTCACTAATGTTAATGTGGCATCATTTCATCGCTGCTTGCAAAAGGAAATTGCTGCGATATTACGGTGTTCGGAGCTCGCCATCCGGGTTCCTTTAAGCGCCATTGCTGCACGAATCGCAGGTGGTGTGATTGATGGCTGTATTGGATGTGTTGACGGGATGCTAGTAAAATCACGTAAAGAAGCCAGCAACGTCCGAGCCTATTTAAAAAAAACACTATTATCACATGGGGCTGAGCCAGTGATGGGTAGAAATGTACGGAAGAGCATTGCAAAGGAGGAATCACGGTGGGATATGTATTGGAGTACCTCATCATTTAGCAGTAAGAACTGCAGTACTAACGCAGTTTGCAATAATAATTGAAATATCTCGCGTTTCTTAGTCCTCCGGCGAAGCACGTGTCTTCAAATCCCGCGCCACTGTGTTTGCGCTCCAAAGGTGCCTATCATGCTTCAAAATCAGCAACTTCTCGAAGTTTATTGGGGTCAAGCGCTTTCACGTCGAGCGGAGCACGTGCTTTGCACTGCTGAAAAGTAGCTTGGCAGACGCAGAGGTACCAGCAATGAACCGGAGATCTGAGTACTCCTCGCTTAGAGCGATGTCCAAGTAGAAACTCACTCAATTATTATGTGACCATCTGCTTTTAACGGGTGGTGAGAAAAAGAGATGAAAAAATCATCTTATAGTCCAGCCTAATGTTTTGGACGCACTCTACAATAGCATGTCATGGTTATATAACAGGGTTTCTTTTCATTGTCCAAGATGACAGAAAACGTTTCCGCATCGGCAATTTCTAGCGGAACCGCGACAACAAGGTCGCCCGTTCTCGCGTCGTACGTCAACCAAGATGATGAAGTTTTTTCGATAGTCAGTAGTCCATGCATATCGCCAGCGGAGTCGTCGCGCTCGTCACCCTGGGCTATCAGAATAAGAGACACAGCTGCTGCCAGCCCAGCTCTTCAAGCTTCTGCTGAAACTACGTCGAGTCTATTGCGTAAGAAAGCTCGCAACATTGCTCCGGCTGCGAACAGAACCGCAGCACCTGCTTTCAATCGGATGGCTGCCACTTCCAGTCCGTCGAAGTCGAGACTGGAAGCAGGCTCAGTCCAAGCAAGTAAAAACCGTCAAACAAAGAAGACATGGTCAGGGTCAAAGACGATGCCAAAGAAGAGCAGTGCTTCTAGTGGGGCTGCTTCTCAAGTGCCGAGTACTGTAGCGAAGGGAATGCGCTGGACTGTGCAATTTACTAAGTTGGCACTTAAGTTCGCCAAGAGAACGAGCGACATCAAAAATATTCGTGCAGCATGGGGAGCAACGGTTAGAGCGTGTTGTGATCAAAGAAGCATAGGGCAAAGGCGAGGAGGGTTATGCGGCCACTGTTACCAAGCTCAAAACCAAATTCAACGCCTTTCGGAAAGCGTATCGGTTGAAACGGACTCGAATGCTGTCGACGAGCAATCGTGCTACTATGTCTCGCAGCGAAGAAGACGAAGCTAGAAATAACAGTCATGGAGTGTGATCATTCCCTGAAAAGCCAGCTAGCTATCCATTGAATCAAAGCGACGGTATTGATTCATCAGGCTGCAAGAAGACGACCTGCGACTCCCTGAACGTCCGGCCAGAGTATAGAAGTGAGTTGGGCAATGAGCACGCTGCATTGTGGCCCCTCTTGTGCGATGTTTTTTCGAGTAATTCAAGTCTGACTGGAGAGGCAATGTGAGTCGGGACTAAACGCGAGTGACGGCAGTGCTGGTAAAGACCTGGACGATGTGCAAAGTGACCCCGGCATTCAATCGGACGGCGAGTGCTCGGACACACTGAGTGACGCTCGGGCTCAGGCAACAGTCAGAGCGAAGGAGAAGCAACAGCAGCAGTCGTCTCGATCGCAGAACAAGCGTCCCGTTGAGCTCTAAAACGACACGCTTCCTGATGGCTTCAGCTGATTTGAGCGCATATTTGAGAGCCGCCAGGCGAATCACGCGACCACGATGACTGTCAGCCGCTTGGTTTCTACCATTGAAGAGTCGAGTGCTAAGCAACAGGAGGCGTCCTACGCTATTTGCCAGAGTATTGCCAGTCTTCAGCTGACGGCGGCAGCTCTGTTCAAGGATATGATGAAGCAGCTCAACACTCCAAACTCTACGTGACACGAAAATTGCTGATCGGAGTACTTCAATGCATTAGTTATTGCTATCGTAGTGGTAACAGTAGTTAGCATACGTGTCGCGCTTGCTTTCCGCCCGCTGCACCGGAACTTTAGTCCGATCCCAATTATGATTCTTGCCTGTTCCCGTTCTTCGTTATTCCTTACGATATCGAGTTCTTCCTTGTCGCCAATATCAATCAGAAGATTGTGAAGAATAACAGCTACGCAAATCATCCTTGCGTTAGTTTTGTGAGTACGGCGATCGGTAACGCCGTTAATCACTTTAAAACGAGCTTTTAAGTTGCCAAACACACATTCAACAAGAATGCAAGTAGATGACAGAATATAGTTGTAGCTACGAAAACGATTATGTTAGTCGTCACAACCAACCGGGCTTCAAAGTTGATGCATTAGCTCACCACCGCTTTTTTCTTGCTTAACATATTACGTTGCTCTCGTCGTAGGGAACCATTAAAAATGCCCAGATCTTGAAGCCGGAATCTCCCAGCCAATTGATCCCTGGGGGCACATCTATCGTGCTCGAGCTCCTAGAACTTCCGACTGGTTCCACATGGACACGGCCGAATTGGAGCTGCTAAAGACGCCGATGTACCGGAATTTGTTGCGGTAGTCTATGTTAGCCAAGTATTTGTACGCTGGCTTACCGCTTTTATCGTAAAATCCCTGTCATTTCATAAATAATTCTTTCTGTAACTCATTAAGCCGCATTCCATAAATTATTTGCTTTCCCTACAGACTACTCGTCCCAAGTGCTCACTTGGGCGACGTGTCCGAACAATGGTGTCATCAAAAATGCAAGCAACGCCCGAAAATTGACCACCGCGGTTTGAAAACCCTTCCGTCATTTCTCCCCATTTCTGGTCATCAATAGTATTACGAAAAACACACAACGTCGCCCATCCGTAGAGTAGCGCTTCAATTTTGTATGTATCTGAGCGCCGGAGTTCTTGACATCTTAAGCTGATTTGCTGCTCCACCGATTCTGTCTCCATCTTGACCGCATCCGTTGTCATAGTACGTTAGTAGCACATCCAGCCCGTAGTCAAACGTATATTGCGTATTCATGCCAGGTAACCCGTATTTTTAATAGTAGAGCGGCTCCAAGAATGCTTGAAGCTTGTCGAAAGAATCCGGAGAGCATCGAACTGTTCGGCGGTACGCCTTCAAAGACCGGTTGGCCTTCAATCGAGGAAAGAAGTCGGATCTGACAAACACAACCGCTTTTGGAGGGCGGCGTAGATATCTTCCGTCCACTGGGCTCAGCACAAAGATCACCGTGACCTTCCAAAGTGGCAACAGCGACAGTAGATATTCATCGACCATAATGCCTTCGAGCAATACGTCTGTAGTCATGCCATCGAGTGCTATCGGATCCACATTGTCTGTGCAAAAAACAGCTTTTAACATCACAATTCGATCATCAAGGCACACACTGTACGATTACCGTTCTCATCTTCACGATAGGCTTCTATTGCGACAGGCGTGTTGTCGGCCAGACTCCTGTTGATGACATCATCCACGTTCGTGTCGGCATCGCTATCGCCTTCACAGGCGTCCAGTCTATCGCTTCTCATCAGAGCAAGGAGTCTCAATCCCGTGTGCCAAACGTTGCCGTTCCAGACTGTCCGAAATAAGTAGCCCCTACTAGAAATTTCGTTCGCTACGGATTTGTTTCTGACAACTTATAAATAAAAGAAACGACCCACGGTATTTTTTCATACGACATTCCAAAAATAAATAGGTACTTAAAAACAAGTGAGTATCTATTTGGACGTCGCTCTTACAGCCTGCCATTAGCGCTTTCAATCGCAAAGTCAGTTCGCGTAACTGCGCTTTTGCCGGTGTTTCTGTTCTCTACTGTCTATTGAGCCTCTGGAGATTTCAAGGTGGTAGTTCGCTGGGAGCCCTGTCACGACGATCCACCGATGTAGATAACATTTTGACGGTTGGGGGCCAACATAATTTGTGATCATTCGTTGCAGTGTATCAGCACATGGGTAGCCCCACGTAGTCTCACGAATCCCAGTGCGTTACTGGACCCAAATATCAGTCTTAATCGGAGGCAACTCACCAAGGCAAACTTATTAACCCCTCCAGACCGGGAGCTGAAAAGAACTTTTAAACTGCATATGCAGCGTAATTAGCCTTGATATTTGTAGATAAACTTGGTTAGGGTAGATAGAATTCAGGATGTACACTAACAGAGTCGTGCTAATATAGCATATAAACTGCATAGTAAACAAAATTAGCGATTTTAGTACTGCAGTATGCAACTTATCACGGATAGTGACAGGCCACTTGCCGAACAGAACCAGGAGCCACACCAATACTCGTTTTCGAAAATTTAGAGAGTTAGACTTCCTTCACAAAAGCTATATACGAGGTAGGGGTGTCACCCCTAGATGGCTTGCAAATCCTGCTGAAAATTAGAGCAATCGCATGACACGCAAAATTCTAAGCGAAACCAGGACGATGATGTACTGACATCACCTGAAACTCTTCGAGTGTAAATAGGCCACTTGGATGCACACCGCGATGAGAACAGGTGCACCACCCTGAAGTTCAAGATAACACAGAACTAGCTATCCAACTTCCCCTGCATATATATGCAGCCTAAGTCATGTTTATTTGCAGCTTACCTCCTATGGGCTAGTACGGCGTCTCTTACTTGAAGCTGGGGTACCAGGCGTCGACGGTGTGTCAGGGCAGGTCGTCTCCGCTTTGCGTCGCACACGGATAGACTTGGCATTCTCGACAGAAATTAGTTTCCCATTGGCCCCCTCCTTGTGCCAGATATCCCAGCAAGTCATAGCAGCGCTGCGCACGTTGCGACGTGCTCTCATGCAGAGATAGGTCGGTCCGGTCTCGTTGCAGTCCTTGCAGAAGAAAGTGGTGGTGGAGGCGCGTTTGTTGTCAACTTGTAGAATGAAGCAAACTTTGCAAGATCGTTGCCGCCGCTTGTTCTGCGTATCTGCATTTCGCCATTCGTCACTTTGGCGGGCCATGTGTTCATTTTGGTGATTCGCCACAGGTAGAGGATCATAGGTTGGTATGGCGGGTGGTGCCAGCGTCCCAAGGCTGTTGCCCTCGTACATGTCAGCCGCGTTAAGCTGGGTGAGCTGGAGATGAAGCTCGATCCTGTATTTGACATGCGTCAGCGGCTGAGAAGTCTTGTTCTTGGGGGGGGGGCCTTGTGGATAATGTAGCCATTTACAATCGCCAAGTCGATCAACCCCAAAACGAGGGATTTGTAATATTTTCATGAATCGAAGCGCGCGTTGCAGCGATTAGCGCTGCAAACGCAGCTGATCATGGAAATCCACGCCAGCCATGAAGGCGTGATAGATCTTCACAACTTGAGGACACGGAGCTTCGACCTGCTCTGTCCCATCCCGACGCACCACTCGGTCAATTTCGCTGCTGCCACCAGTACATAGGAAATCCACAGGTCTAGAGCCCACCAGCAAATAGCTTTCATGTTGGCATCAACTTAGACTTTGCGATCTTATAGGAACCAGATACTACGGAGGATTCGTCAATAACAACCGTCGAGCTGGAAACATCAGCATCGTCACTTGCGTAGACGTCAGAAATATGAGGTGAAGTAGCAATAAGTGGCGACGCTGACCGCGGACGAGGCGGCAAGATCGCAATCGGACTTGAGCTAATTGCTAATGCTCGACGAGCACTCAACGGACGTGTTGGTGATACTGGTGCATGCTGACTTACCTTACCGCGCGTAGCTGTAGCAAATATAGCAACACATTAATCAGTTTTTTTACGGCATAGCATTCACTATAATATGCAGTATAACGTGCTACATAATATTCAGCTTACCGGAGGGGACATCTTCGTGAACCGGAGGCACAATTTGCTCTTGGGGTGATGCTTGTTTCTTTAAAGGCGTAGTGACGGAACGTGTGTACATAGTAAGCAAAAGCACATGATTAGATTCAATAGCATATAAAGCATGTGACTCAGTGCACCAGGGCCGCCCGTCGCATCTGTGTCTTGGTGAATATTGCAGCTTGTTCACGGGCAGCTCCGGCTTCGATGTCTCTAAAGGTAGTTCTGGCGAACAACTTGTTGGGCAGCCGCGAGCTGAGCATCACCGGGGGCGGTCGACGAAGCGCCAGCTGAACCAGTAGTCGGTGCGGATCCATGAGCGCGGCTTCGTAGCACTGTGTTGAACATTTTGTCAGTACATCTAGAAAATTAATAATAAATGGTTCATGTCCCGTTAGCGTCGTACTCGAGTAGCGTTTTCTCACCCAGGAAGTAATCGATGCCTAGAGTTCCTTCCGTGTGGCCGTGGGGTCGAATATACTTATATCGATCGTCCAGGCTTCGCCGTGATGGTGGTTTGCGTGTCCACCCATTTCCTTTGATCTCGCGCCATACCGGCTTGAATGACAAGTCACGTGCAGTGACTTCGCTGTCCCGCGGTACCATTTTTCTCGTCTTCACCATTTTGGGATTCACTTGGTCTCTGGCGCCGGAAATTCTCGAATGAGAGAGATTTTGAAATGGCAGAGGCTCTGAGAGCCACTTATTTGGTAGGTACGTGACAGTTTCCTTTATGAAATGATAAACATCAGTTACAATTTCAACCAGCCTGTACAAACCAATTTTTAGGATTTCTGAAAAGACTTGGTGTTTGTTTGAAAGGGTGTAAAAACGCGAGAGCAGAAACGACACATATTTTTATCTTAGTGTTTGTAATCCGACGTGTCGGGGGAAAGGGCA